CACATGCACACACTCTACATGTATGTGTTCAGGGTCAGAGTACAGCTCAGCAGGGATCTCACTGCCAAGCCTTGGTTTTCTGGGTGACACCACAACAGGCAAGGCTGTTCCCTATTGGCTGCCCAGTTCCTTTCAGATGTGCTCCGGGTGGCTCTGCAGGCAGGACAGCATCTCTGTGACAGGCTTGCCTTCATAGCAGATCTGGTACACTGCTGTGAAGAGTGGAAACCTGGAGGGGCAGGAGGGGGACACATTAGACTGCACACGTGTGTGTGTGTGTGTGTGTGTGTGTGTGTGTGTGTGTGTGTGTGTATGGGCACATATTCGTGATGTAACAGACCCCCCCAAGACTGTAGCACAACTGATGCCATGATGCAAGTACAATTCATGCCTAGAAACCCAACACATAGGCTGTGTTACCTGCCAAAATGAGAACAAAGACCTAATCCATCAAGGCCCACAGTTCTGGGAAAGTCCCCAATGTGCTAACCTTGCTTTTTGGCTCCTGTAGTTGTGATTCTGGCTAACTGAGGTGTGTCAACCCAGGATACGTTTTTTGTGTTTAAAAACTCACCCTAGAGAAAGGCTCAGGGCCTCACTGAGATCCTGAACTCCCAACACAGTCACCAGCTGGCTAATAAAGACTCCCTATTGGCCTAAACCGGTGTCTGAGAATTCTCCTATGGTGGACACCACACAACATGTACCTTCAGGTAGGTACTTATGTGTGTGTGTGTGCGCGCTCGCACATGCGTGGACAGAGGTCAGAAGACAACTTTGGGGTTGGCTTCAGAAACTTTGGTTTGTTTGTTTGTTTAAGACAGGGTCGCATTATGTATCCCTGGCTGGCCTGAAACTCACTATGTAGAGCAGGCTGGCCTCAACTCAGAGATCCCCTTCTGCCTTCCTGAATGCTGGCTGGCATTAAAGTTGTGAGCCACCATACCGCTCCATGTTTTGTGTGAAATATGATCCTGTGTCACTTCCTGAGTGAAGGGAAGTGTATATACTTGAGTTGTCATGGCGAGCAGTCATCGGGCAGCTAGGACTCCCTGTCTACAATTAGGGGGTGGTTAATGGTCCATGCCACTGTGGTCTGGTACCTGAGTGTAGCCCTCCATGCTTTGAGCGATTGATCCTACTCTTTAGCACTATTGGGAGGTACTGGAACCTTGGGCACATAAGACCTGAGGGGAGGACGTGAGGTCACTGGGGGCAGGTTCCTTGAATGGGACACTGGGAACCTTTCTGACTTTGCCTATTGGCCACCCCAAAAAGATCTCCCAGCCATGTGCTCCTGCAGGGATGCACTGCACCTGCAGGGGTGTAGGGGAGCACTGCACCTGCAGGGGTGTAGGGGTGCGCTGCACCTGCAGGGGTGTAGGGGTGTGCTGCACCTGCAGGGGTGTACTGAACCAAAGCAATGGGGCCAGGGGACCATGAGCTGAGACGTTTGAAACTGTAAGCCAAAGAGACTTTTCTCTCCTCTTAGGCTAGCCTCAAACACTCGAAGTGGACTCCTAACCCTGCTGCCTCAGTGTGCTGAGTGCCAAGGCTAAAGGGGTGCACTGCTATGCCCAGCTCACTCCCCCACTTTAAAATTCATGGTCTTACTTTGTACTTAAGGCTGACTTTGAAATCCCTTTGTAGCCTAAGCTAGCCTCAAACTTGTGGCAATCCTCCTGCCTCAGTCTCCCCAGTGCTGGAGTTTCAGGCATGAACCACCATACCCAGCTCATGCTTATAAATCCCTTCATGAAAACCAAAATACCCAGGTGTGGTAACACACACTGACTTAAAACATTGAGACTGTTTTGCTTTGTTGTTGTTGTTGTTACTCAACTGCAGGGCTTTCAAGTGTGAACCTTGTAGATGACAACATCATGTCACAATGTAGAAATCTTGGGCACATTTGACTAAAATTGCATTTTCTATATCATGCTTTATCTATAGAATTAAGCTGTTGTCAATGAAGTTGAAATTGGTTTTGTGTATGTAGCTATTTCCCACTAGAGATGTCCATCTCACAGAAAACAGATCCAGTCATATCCTGCGTACACTGGCCAAGCAGCTCCCTCACCCAGCCTCTGTGACTGAGGAACTAGCAACGCGGACAACAGGGGACTCACTTGTCAAGTAGCCCCTTCTGCTTGAGGATGCGGTACACCTCAGCGGAGGTCTGTGGTCCCTGGAGCTTCTGCCCATTCAGCATCTCCTTCTCCAGTTCTTCAATGGTCTGAGGAGCAAAGGATAAAGACAGGGTCCCCTTGAGCATTGTCCCTTTCCAGAGCCTGAGAGGTCCTGCTGCTAGTCAAGGAAAGGATAAGGACTTTCCGTGAGGAAATATGAAAGTGTCACATTAAGTGAAGTCACCCAGGCTCAGAAAGGCACATAGTGCATGTTCTCTCATGGGAGTATCCTGCCTTCTAACCGCGTGTGTGCAGGCGTGTGAGCTTGTGTGTACGTGTGTTCATGCCCATGTGTGAGCATGCATGTAGAGGCCAGAGGCTGATGTCGGCGTCTTCCTCAGTCCCTTTCCACCTTCCTCCCTGAAACTCACCAACTTACCTGGGCCTGCTGACCTGTGAGCCCGGCATCCTCCAGTCTCTGCCCCCACCCTCAGCACTGACACTACAGGTTCACATGGCTACACGGGCTTTTTATGTGGGTGCCCGTGAGCCAATGTGAGGTCCTCATGTTTGTGTGCAGAGCCATCTCCCCAGTCTCCTAGCTTCTAGTTTTTATGTCTGTACGTTGATGTTGGAGTGGGTGTGGGCAGAGGCCAGGAGACTAGAAAGAAGCCCCAAGAAGTGGGAGAGGGACTTGATGGGATTGGGCAGGGTAAACGAGCACGTGTGATGTGAAAACGGAGGGGAGAATTCCGGCCGGGGTCAGGAGGAAAGTTGGAGCAGGGAGTTGGGGGGAGGGGGTCAAAATCAAAATGCCATCACAAAACCTGTTACTTTGCATGCTAATTTTAAAAAATTAAAGGAAAGAAAATATATGGGCATATAAGGGCCAGAGCAGGCAGGTGAACACGGCCAGGGCAGACAGAACAGGTGCCGTCATGGGAAGTCTGGGGGGCTCAGCTGGAGAGGGTCTCAGTATCAGACAGAGCGGGTTGGGTTCAAGGTACCTTTCCGGTCCTGGCGAAGGCCTCTGCCACCTTCCTGTTCCGCCCTCCATAGCAGGTGGTGATGAGGTCAGCTACCCCACAGCTCTCCAAGAAGGTGGCCGTGGACACCTGGCCCTTACAAAAGATCTTGGCGAAAGCGATCATTTCCATGAGTCCTAAGCGGATGACAGCAGCCTTGGTGTTGTCCCCACAGCGGAGGCCATCGCAGAAGCCGGCTCCTACAGCAACAATGTTCTGCAGAGACCACAGAGGAGGGGCTGACACCAGAGCACACACAGCCCTCAAAGGGCCAGGATGTGGACCAGTGTGGGCGGTGGGGTCAGCATCAGCTGGAGAGTTAGAGCTGTTGACAGCAGTCCTTGGGCACATGCTCTCTGGACAAACTAGTTTGCCTTTTAAGTTGTTTTCTTATCAAAACAGTGCTGGGCTGAGCTTGGTGCCTCACTCCTGTAATCCCAGAATTTGGGAAGCAGAGGCAGGTGGGTTCCTCCAATTTTGAGGCCAGCTTATCAGTCCAGTCAGAGCTACAAACCCTGTATCAAACAAGCACCATCACGGCCACGACCACAACCTCACCACACCACCACCTCCCACTACACTGTCACCGTCACCACCACCACCACCACCACCACCACCACCACCACCACCACCACCATACTCTCCTTGCAAACAAACACAAGGATCTGAATCTGATCCTCAGAATCCATGTTTTTTTAAAAAGAGTCCCCAAGCTGAAATCCGCCCCAATGCAAACTGCCAGGAAAATGGGTGAACTGAGTTATTATACAGAAGCTAATAGTCACTGTGAGCATCTGGTTCTTGTCTGTTGCTGACTGCACGTGGGCAGTTCTCTTGGATATGCGCTAGGGCAGTGGTTCTCAACCTTCCTGAGGCTGCTGTCCTTTAATACAGTGCCTCGTGTTAGATACCAACCATAAAATTTTCATTGCTACTCCATAACTGTAATTTTGCTATTTTTATGAATTGTAATGTAAATTATCTGTTTTCCAATGGTCTTAGGCCACCCCTGTGAAAGGGTTGTTCGACCCTAAGGGGATCTTGAGAACCACTGGTCTAGGAGATGGCTTACTGGGTTACATGCAACTTTTTGTTTCATGTAAATGAATATTCATGGGGTACCCACTCTTTGCATTGTACTGCATCTGCTCTACTGTGGACAGGCAAATCAGTTATGGGGCCCTCTTCCATAGGTGAGAGGTACCAACCTAAGGCCTGGATTTGCCAGTCACACTCTATGGGAGCTGGTCCACACCACCTACTGATGGATGGCCCGTGTGAATGACGGAGATGTGGGCCAGCGACCCAGGGTCCCACAGCTCATCTGACTCTTCTAGCTCTTGATGTACTTGACCTCAAAGGATACCGTCTGAACTAGCTTACTAAACAAGGAGCCTCTGCCTGCAGGTCAGGCCCTACCTATGACAGGGAACGTGGTTAAAGAATCTAGGAAAGCCAAGGTGAGACCCATGCTCAGGGCACTAAGCTGGGCCACCCTGATATGTTTGCAAAGTCCTACTCATGTCAGTGAGCTAAGGATTACAGTGGAATCCAAACTAAATGTTTGGCTTTTGAACCTCTCTGCCGTCCCTTGGACTGTGTGTCTATGTCACCCATTCTAGATGATGACATGATAAATCAATCCTAGGAATTCTCTATGGATGCATGGGGAGAGCAGGCTCTGTTATGCTGCAAGGGCTCTTGCTGAAGAAGGCTGGGCCACACCCAGACTCTGAGGCATGGGCTTACACTGCTACCCCCTGACTGAGAGATGGAAGAAGCAGGACTCAACCCTGAGGCCCAACCCCAGACATGATATGTGCCCTGCCTGTCACTGATTCCAATGTGTAGGACACTTGTCCTCTTTCTTCCCAGGTTGGAGAGACTTCCTCACACCCTTGCAATTCAGTGTCATAGGGACATGCCTCCACGGTTCCCCGAGGCAGAGGGAGTCAAAGGGCAGGTCGGGAGGAGAGAAACAACACACATAGCAACGGCTGCAGTGCAGTGCCAGACTGCTGGCCTATTGCAAACACTGAAAATGGAATAAATTTACACCTCACATTCTCACATGGTAACCCCTTCATCACACACAGTGAAGGATGAGGAAACCAGATACACCACAGCTTGCCAGGAGACAGACCACACCCAAAAGCCCAGTGAGCAAAAGACACAGACCAGCCTCCCCAGAGTCCAGGCAAGGGCTTTCTCACAAGCAGAGCTGGCCCACTGAACCAAAAAGATTTGGCAGGAGTTCTCTGTCAACTGGCTAAGCAGGATAGTATGAGCAAGCCTCCAGCCTCAGTCCAGCTCTTCCAGTCACTGCACTCAGAGAAAATAGACAAGGAAGAGGCCCGAGCGAACAGCACTGTGATGGCCTCAAAGCTTCCAGGAGTCACTGACTTCCCCACCAGAGGGCCTTGGACAGGCCAGCTCTCTTCTAGTAGGACCCTGGACCCCCCCACCCCCCCAAGCTAAAACACACATGCACACCACACACACACATGCACGGGCACACATGCACACCATGCACACACACTTGCGAGCACACACACGGAGCCAGCTAGAGCATGTTTGAAAAGAATTTGAGCAGATGTCCCTTGAGAAAGCTCAGCTCTGAAAGTCATCCTTACCCCCCTTGCTCATGCAAATCTGCCCTCAGCTAGCCGAAGCTAAAGGCACTGTGGCATTTGGAAGACAGGTGTGTTAAACCCTTGCCCAGGCCCCAGGGTAGAGCAGCGCTCAGAAGCAGCCCTCCACCTGGAGGGGCGGTTTCTTTTTCTGTGCACTGGACCCGGCGGACCAGGCTCAGTTCTACTCCTGCAAAACCAGGCTGGGATGTAGATCTGCTGACAGAATGCTTGCCTAGCAAAAGTGTAGAGGCTCGAGCAGGAGAGGGTGCTGCACACCTGCAAGCCCAGCGGGGTCAGGGGGTCAGGAAGCCAGTGGGGTCAGGAGGTCAGGAAGCTCAGGGGTGGGGGGGCTGGAGAGATGGCTCAGTGCTTAAAAGCAGGGGCTGTTCTTCCAGAGGACCTGGGTTCAGTTCCCAGCACCCTCATGGTGGCTCACAAGCATCTGTAACTTCAGTTCTAAGGGATCCTGCCCCCTTCTGGTCTGCTGGCACTGCACACACATGGCGCACAGACAAGGGTGCGGGCAAGCACCCAGACACAGAAAATTTGAAAAATGAAAAATGAAAACAAAAGCTGGGCGTTGGTGGTGCACGCCTTTAATCCCAGCACTTGGGAGGCACAGGCAGGTGGATCTCTGTGAGTTTGAGGTCAGCCTAATCTACAGAGCAACTTCTAGAACAGCCAAGGCTGTCTTGAAACAAAGAAACCCTGTCTCAAAAGACAAAAAGAAAGTAAAAAGAAAAAGTTCAAAGTCGTCAGGCATAGAGTTAAAGGTATCCTCCTCCCCTAATGATCTCTCTCCATATTTACGAATGTATCCCATACATAGGTGTGTACATACATCAAACCAGTGGGCAGTCCATGCCACTGCAGGGTATACTAACACTCCCAGCATGTAGGTAGAACCAGCCTACAGTACCCAGGGCAGCATCCTCCCCTTCGGAAGTTGAACAGCCCACCAAGTGGTTGTCTGGTCTCTTGCTTTAGCCATGCAAAGAGTGCTCTCTCACCTGGCCTCTGAGAGTCCGGAGACTCTGAAAGCCTTAATTGTGGCTCACAGTCACAATTAAGCCACATGGCATTCTGTGTGTGTGTGATGTGTGCATACAGACAGACATGCATGTGTCACGGTGTGCATGTGGAGATCAGAGACCAACTTTGCGGAATCTATTCTCTCCATCCACCTTTATGTGGGTTCTGGAGAGTTCTGTCTTTAGGCTCGCGCATCGACTGCCTTTACCCACTGAGCCATCTCACTGGCCTGGTCTTTTTGATAATGGAAACAGATTCAGAGTCCAAACTAAGCAGTTCTAGCTAGAACAACAGCAACAAAAATGATTCCATACAACCATTGACACTGAAGTCAAGTAAGCAGAAGAACAAACAAGACATTTGGATGAAAGAAAATTAAAGGCTGGCCAAAATATAATTGGTTTGTGTAACAGATGAGACCCAACCACGTGTGCCAGCCAGGCAGGTATGACAGACTGGGGCGGGGGGCACATGCAAACTGACAGACCATTTAAGCAGACTGTGGTGGTTAACATTAGTCGTCACCCAAGAGGAGCGCCCCCAGGCACACGGCAAGAGATCACGCTAGCTAACGGGGTTGGCTGAGGTGGGAAGACCCCCTCCAACGCAGGCGGGAGGGAGTCCCATTCTGTGGAGGAAATCCCCCACTGACTAAGGAGAAAAGGGTGATCACCAGTATCCCCCTTTCTTGGCCTCCTGACTGCAGTTACAGTGTGACCTGCCAGGGCCCCGTTCCTGTCACTTGGTCCTCCCATGTCTCTGCTGCCATGAGGGCTTAATCCCCAGGGTCTGTGAGCCAGAATAAACATTTCTTTCAGTTGCTTCCCTCAGCTTTTTGTCACAGCAATGAAAGAAAAATTAAGACACCGTGATTAGCCTGCTGATAGGTGCCAGCAAAGGAGCTAGCCACGTCAGGCTGTTAGCCCTGGGTACCAGAAGGCACCATCTGTGATCAGAAGCTAACGTCACAGCCAGGGGACAACACTGGGGTGTGCTTAGAGGCTGTAGACCTGGGCACCACTTCTGTTCTTTGCTGCCTGAGTGTGTGTGCAGCATGGTCAGCCAGCTTCCTGCTCCCGGTGCCATTGTCTTTCCTGCCATGATGGCTTCCATTCTCCTGGAACTCTAAGCCAACATTGGCCCTTTCTTCCTCAAGCTGCTTCTGTCAGGGTATTTATCCTAGCAACAGGAGAAGAAATGAATACGTAGTCTTTGCTGACTAAACCTAAGACACAGCACTGTAGAAATCAAACAGGCCAATGACTCTGACATATTGTTTGCTGCTTTTAAAATGAAGCCTGGAGGCTGGATAGCTGGCTCAGAGGTTAAGAGCACTGGTTGCTTTTAGAGAGGACCCAGGTTCAATTCCTAGCACCCATTAAGCAGCTTACAACATCTGTAACTCCAGTCCCAGGGGATAAGATGTCCCTCTTCTGGCTTCTGCAGACACTAGGCATGCGTGTGGTGCACAAATATACATGCAGGAGAAATACCCCTAGATATAAAATAATAATCAGTGTTTACTTGCAGTTTTATGTGCACTTAATCTTT